AAGAGAAACTGGGACTGAGAATGCTTTTTGAGAAAAACAAAGATAACTGTCAATGTATTTGCGAAAGACAGAGAATTCAGCATAGAGATAAACACTATTTAAAGCTTGTTCATTAATGAATATGTTTACCTTGGTCTTGAATTTATACATGATAGAAAAAAAAAAAGGAAAGAAATTAATATTTAAGTCAGGTGTTTAATATGTTTGAATATGTATTTAATAATTTTCTGTGATTTTTTAGAAACCTTTCCATTCCTAAGCCCTCTCTCACCATCCGTAAAAGAAAACTTCAGCAGAGCAGAAAAGGGGATTTGCTTTGAAATAGTATCTTAGAAAGGGCTTATGGTAAGAATTAATAAATCTCATGTTCGTGCTGAGTAAAACAGGCTCATTGAATGAAACCCGGTGTGGTGGATGTTTCCTGCCTCCATGCTTCTCACAGCCTTTTTCTGGTCGTTTATAGAGCAGTTTATGCAGTTGGAGGCTGCCTTTCAATCCCATTCTGCTGTATGAGTTCTTACAGCATTTACAAATACCCATACTGTAAGAGGATTAACTTTCATAAGTGTCTGTGATAAACTTATGATGGATTGCAGGAAGAATATGGTGTGCATAAATATTTTTTCCTGTTTTTTCCACATTACAGAAGGTTACTTTGTTTTTTTTCCTGTATGGCCCTGCCTTTGCCTCACATTGTGCTGGGGAGTGGTCCTACTGTATTTTGTAAAACCAACTACATTTTTTCTGTGAGATTCGTTCCATGGGTAGCCTTGGAAAACACATGAATCTTTCATAAGTTTGTTTTCTGCTATTTTTAATACCCCAAATGTGTCACATACATTGTTGATTCAAAGCATGTAGCAACTACAGAGACAGTTTATAATCCTCATGTAAACTGCAGTAGGGACATCTAAAGAGTGCATTAGAGAAGTTAGAATTTGAGTGCGGAGGGGAGGTTGGGTGTGGCATGAAAGTTGTTCAGAAGCTGTGGGGAAAACACTAATTGTTGAATCCACAAGAGACTAGAGAGGCTTCATTAAAATTTATCGGGTTATGCGAAGAAATGCAACTTCAAAGTAATTTCATGAATTCAGTTAAAAATGTTAACTTGAAAGCAATAATGCATTCTAGTTTTGTGTAAAATGGACCAATTTGATGTATTGAAGTTACACGAATTGAGAGAGCATTGAAATGAAAATGACATCAGTGCTGTGCCCAATTAAGTGAATAACTGTTACAGTAAATGTAATATATTTATTATTTAAATAGGAACTTAAGATCAGTCCTTTCGATGTGACCATCAGCAGTAGATATTTGTTAAAAGTAAGCCAACAAAAGTAACTTGATGGAAATGGAACGTTACTCTCTGTAATAAATGATAATTCCTAGTAGGACTGCCCTAAATACTCAAGGGAAGATTGTCATAGATTTTCCTTTCCTTTTAGCTTCTAGCTCATAGTGCTGTCTAAACATCATTGGATAGAGTTAGTAATTTCTTATACTTCAATCCTACAAGAAAGGTTCTGGTTTTATTCATCCATTATTTTAATTTTCACTGCTACGTTGCAAGAACCTCACGGATTGGTCACCAGTATATAGAATGTTAAGAGAACACATTCACCAAGCAACAAATACCCTTTAATAAATCCTCTCTTAGATATTCCAGCATTAAAATTATGTTCCTTTTATGTTTCTTTTAGGCTTATCTTCACCTACGGTTGTAAATTCTTGTTAAATGATCATTTTTCTGAAAGCCTTAGCAATTAGTGGACCTTCCTAGCCATTGCTTTCAAGTTAAAAGCAAGACTGTGAAGAGGATTCACAGTGAAGATATCCAAAATTTAGGTGTTCAAAAGACCTGTACAGTGGCAACACCTTCTGCCCACATTAAACAAATACTGTCTATACATTGCTCCGTTTGTGTTACTAGGATCTCATTGTTGTGGTATTGAACCCTTATGAGCTACATTTTTTCAGCTAATGCCACCAAGCCCAGGCTTGCACGATCTCTGGTTTATTGCTTGTTCAGCCTTTACAAATAACACTTCATGTAGTTGTTTCATGTTCCACATTGTAGGATAGATAGCGTTCAACTGCTGGTAGAAATCTGAGTGCTGGAAATGGTGACTCTGGAGTTTGGTTATTAAATACATAGTAGGGATAATATAGATGCCTGTTATTCTTGGACTGTTGTACATGACTTTCACTGATTGTCAGGTAGACCTGACATTTAGTGAAAGGTGTTCCCTGATGGTTTTTAGCTAATAAATTGCTAACCACTTTCACATTCAACAAGGGAATCCCTCATTCGCTTAAATATACAAGTCTTTTATGTAGAAGCCATCTTTCTTAATATATCTAAACTCTAGGCTGTGCAATCCCAGTGCTGACTGGGTTGAAGTCCTGATACTGTAGTTACATGTCACTGGGCATAATATAAATATTAGAATGCTATTAATGTGGGGGGAAAACGTTAACCTAATTTAAACCAACCTGTTACCATTAGCACTGACTTTCTCAGTAGATGAATTATTGTAGACATTGAAAGGTGGAAGTAACTTACTTTCATTTTCAATTAGTAGAATGCAGACTGTAGAAATAAAGCTGCCATGAACTTCACATGGATTAGAATGCATCCACATGATCGTTGGAGAATGATCACTGACAGAAAGCTGACATCGGAGAATCCAGTGCCTACCAGATTTGTTATTCAGTCCTTTCATTTTGTCAATCTGGTAAAGAAATGTTTCTTGTCTTGCAAGACTCCTTTGCCTAAAGTGGCAGAAAAAAAATTCAGAAGAATCATGTACCTCATATGAGTTGTCTTCTGGAGTCAAGATTTATGAGTGACTTAAAATATGAACACATAATATTCCTGAAGTACATGTGGTGGGCATACAATATCCTAACTGTTTTCTTCAACAAGGGCTCAGGCCTTCCTTTTTCTGAGGGGCAATGCTAAAGAAAGTCTTGTCTTCACAGTGATAATCAGAGAAATTAATGTAATTTTTGAAATGGATTAGGTAAACTGCACTGAACTGTGGGTGGATTCTCATTCAGAATCAAAATAGCCTTTATTCTTTGAAGCTTATTTAACTTTCAAAATAAATTAACTCAAATGGAATTAAAACTACTTCAGTAAAGTATCTCTATGCATAGGTTCGGTGTAATTTTACCAATCTACACTGAATTCACACCTTAAATTCAGAATTAATTTGCCTTAAAGGCATGAGAATATAAGCAGGAGTAGGCTGGGGAGATTTTACTAGCTGGTGATGAACAATGAACCCACCCACCTTAGATGATTGAAGAACCCTTCACTTCCTCAACAAAACATAAATGAATTACAGTTTTTTTAAGCCTTTTTTTTTTTTCCTCTTTTCATTTACTGAGATCTCTCTAACATTCAAAGGACATCTCTGGGATGTCCTTTGACTGCATCAGACATAGCACACCCGAGTTTCTGTGCTACATTCCCTGGCATAACTTTACTTAGCAGACACGTTTATTATAGAAGTTGTTTATTAAAATCTGTGTCTTCTTAAGCAAGGCTAGGTAGGTAAGAAAGGACATTCTGTATCAAAGTGGTATATATGGAGGAAATGAAGAGAAGCAAGAAGTGGGAAAACTAATTGTAAATTACCAGTACTGATGCTCAGTGGAAAGAGTTGTGCCTCCCAGGAGGACTGTGTGGTTTGTGTACCTCAGTCCCTTGGGCGTTTCTGGGAAAAAATCACAATGGCCGTGGTACTTGTTTGAGCAAAGCCGAATTGCTACTGTTCTGTATTCTGCCCATCACTAATTCGTATTAATATTCTACATCCATTTAAGAGGAAAAGATGTTCCTGAAAAGTTTTTTCTGTCCTTGAATGTAATTGACTGTGAGTGTTCCATAATTTACAGTAATACAAGATACTGTTGGTATCTTTTAAGATATTTTCTCACCAGCCAGTCAAGATTTTTTAACTCTGAGCTGCTTGGAATTACATCATTAATCTAGCTAGGTGACTGCAATATGCTGGGTAATCCTGCATGATGAAGAGCTGCTGCAGTCCTTTGAGATGGGTGGCAAGAGCATTTTGTACAAGGTAATGGAGTGTCTGGAAAGGAGTAGTAATGATACAGCTGAGAAGTAGCAGGTGTGAAGAATAGCTTTGCTGAAACACAGGCTTAGTCAGAACTCTGCAGATGCAGTTGTCAGTTCTTTTATATTTCCTCATTAAAATTACGTGATTTGGTGAATGATTCACGATGGCTCCTGGGCCTTTACCAGTACAGCAAAACAGAACAGAAACTGGTTGCAAGCTATCTGTATGACTCTCATAGCATTTCCAAACCCAGAATACCCTACACAGATGTTGTAGTTTAAGTGCAGCTGGCAACTAAGCACCACACAGCCACTCACTCAATTCCCCCCCAGTCTCAGTCATTTTGTCCTCTCTTCCATAATTTTGGCCATGAAGGAAAGCAAAGACTATGGAGTCTGTGTCAAGGAAATCTGTATCCACTGTCATAATGACCTGGTCACAGGTTTCACTGCCCTCACCTAAATCCTTTCTGTAGACAGGTGGGCTGATGTAAATGCAGAGCATGTCCTTGTTTACATATAGGGAAAATAGGAGTGGTAAAAATCCCTGTTTATCCCAGTATATGCGAGTTTGTTTTTCTGAGAACTGTCTGATCTCGGTGACTTTGTTGGTCACAGCAAATTTGGTCTAAAAGCTGTGTCCCTTTTGACTCTAATAAGACGAAGCGTGTGAGTAGAGGCTGTCCATGTAAATAAAAGCTGCAGGATTGCAACTTCAGAGGCAAGCTCTTTATCAGCGGGGGAGACTTCATGCCATTTACATGAGAAGGAATTTTGCCAGGCTTTCAGGCTGTGACCTTAATGTGACTCCAAATGTCATATGAGTCTCTAATATGTTGGAAATTACACCGTTGCCATGTTTTGCTGATCTGGGGTCATTAACAATGTCCTTATTCCACATTATTTATTTCAGATCACCAGACTAGCTCTGATGTCAACTTGTCAAATGTCAGGGGAGCGTCAGACAAAAGAGACCTCAGTTTTAAAACAGAGGTACTTTCTGAAACATTAGAAACTAACGAGCAGTCAATATTGGTGCTTCCAGGAAAAATATCATGTGAGGTAAGGTTTTTGGATGGTAAAATCTTTGGGATACCAATCAGTGTTCTCCTCTTCCTGCTGCAGTCTCATTCATAACATAACAGTTTTGAAATCGAACAGCAGATAAAGGGCCAAAATGAGGGTGCATCGAGACTGCAATGGGATTTATTTTGCCTTTGTCACATCCACACTACAACCAAAAGATTTGCAAATAAAATAATTTTGAGACACCTTCTGGGGGATTTTATCTCTATCGGAATTATTTGGCAGCTTGGGTAGGGATATTACTGTCATGTGGACCTTGTAGTTTAGAGGGAACATGTAGTCAGTTGAGATATATGGAGTGCCTCTTGGCATGAATACATGATATGTATGTGGGTGCACATATATGTGCACATACCACGAGATACACAAGTGCTTGTGTGAGCATATACCTTGTCTGATTTCTAAATGAAACCAGGAATATTTATATATACGTATCTACATGCATATCTGATGGATACAAATGTTCATATATGTTTGTTTTTATTCAGAGTTGCTGTGAGAAAATACATGAAAATGTAAACAAAGGAAGTACAATATCTAGCAGTGCATTCCATTCTATAAAGTGAGTGGCCTCAGTCAGATATGGACGTTGTGGTGCACATGGAATATCATGTATTTGGCATGCTGTCTGTCTTTCAAAGATGACTTACATTATTTCATTGTTGAGAGTAGTACAGTTTTGAGGGAGTAACATTCCCTCTGGTTCAGATGGCAGTATATGGGTATTGTCTCACACTACCTGCTGTTTCTGTCAATTCACTGCAGGAGTTTAAGTGTCTAAAGTTATTTAGGTTCTTATTAGGCTGAATGTCATTCTTCTAGAATATAAAGTAAAATGGTCTTAGAGAATGTAACGATTCACCTATATATGAATTTAAAATTCTGTTTTAAAGTATTGTTAGGTAAGCTGAATTTTAAAATACATTGTGTCATTTGTGTCAGTAAAATACCAAAGGCTTGACACTGAGATGGCATCATGTTTTGGTATTATGATGTTTTTGTATGAAGCTGTTGGTAAAGGAACTTTCCTTCTGACTTAAGTTTTATTTGCATTTTACACTTTCAGTATAATTTTCTGAAGGACTGATGGGAACATACTTTAATTTTATAGAACCCTGGTGAAATATTCATTTTATTGAAAGATGAAATAGATGATGAAGCCTTAGAAATTGAATTCATATCAGATAATCAACGAATTAGGACACAGCCAGCCTCTTGGAATAAGAAGGTCAAGTACATGAAAGCCTTGGGTAAGAAAAACATTCTTTAAGTAAAGAGAAAATTTTGGACTCCCTTCACTTCTGTGATACGTAGTTTCACTTCCCTCTATTTTTTAGGTGTTTCCTGTACATGGGTTCTGCACAGAACATTTCTTAATAATGCAGAGAAGCAAGGCCTTGTGATTTATGGGAAACTAGGTTCTATTAGATTGGTTTTGTGTGGTTAAATGGCAGGTGACAGTCTTAAAATGTCAGTGATCAGTCACATTAACTTTCTTCAAAACAAGAAAATTAATTTTCTTTTCACTCTATTATTAAAATGTTTCATTTTATATTTAATGCAGTAAATTTAGCTATACTCCTCTCTATAATTGGTACTGACACAGGAAATAATTTCTTTCCTTTGTTCATGTCCATGCCATTTTGCTGTATCACTCAGCTTTTCTGGTTTCTAATGAATTTATTCAACTGCTGCATCCATAACTAGTTGCCAACTGTTTCAACTAGTTAATAGTTTCTCTTAGGAAATCTGTGCAGATTTAAGGGCCACACTTATTCACACTCACTTGATGTGAGTTAAGAATTAAAACATTTTTCACCTAAGTATTCAGCATGTAGCTTGCTGCTCCACAGGATGCTACAAATTCCAGAAAGAACTTACATAATATTTTATTCTAAAACCATTGCAGTATGACATTAGATAGGAAGCAACAGGCTGCAGTTTTCCACAGTGGCTTCTTGTGGGTAATTCTGTGGCCTGATTTTCATCCTGAATGGTGTTCTGAAATGATGGCCACATACAGGCTTAGAATTTTTTATCGCTGTGGTGGTGCAGAGAGTTTGTTTTTAGAGACCTGATTGAGAAAAACATGACCAACAAAAAACTTTCACCTGTAACTGGTTTTCAGAGGAGAGCTGAAATCCTTATTCAACCATTTTAAAAGATTCTTCCAGAATTATTCTGTGTGGACATTGTTGATAACAGGAAGGTTCCCTATGGTGGACGAAGCAATAAAATATGAAGAGTAAATGAAATAATATGAAAAATTTGGCAGAGAGCTGCAGCCCAAGTTTAATTTTGTTTCTTATATTTAATGCTTCTCTTTGTAGGCTTTTTTTCTGTTTCAAAATCTGGAAAAGTTGGAAGTTTCGAGTCACCCTTTTTTAATAAGGTCCAGCTCATCTGATGTTATAAGAAATTAGAAAAAAATATTTGGGCAATTTCTATTTAAGTGATTTAAGGTGATGTTCTATTCATTTCATTTCTTTGGCCTTATTACTCGTCTCCATTTTCAGGGTTGCCCATTTTTATCGCTCTTTTGTGGGCAGTTAGTTAGAATCTTAAGCAAACCATGTTAGTGCGGGTGTGGTACAGCAGGATGCCTGGCACAGTGAATACTAATGAATTATAAAATGTGCTCATGAAGAGGGCTCATGCTGCATACATAGAGCAAGTCATACTTAATGGCAGACTGTTCCTTTACCTCCTAGGTAAACAACTGGAATGGAAGTAATTATACTGCAATTTCTACAGCCTAGTTCAAATACGATTTTGAGAAACCTGCCTGCAATTAAGAAAAACGTTTCAAAAGATGAATAGCAATTCCACTATTTGTAATAAATGAACTTCTCCTTAATTTGTAGGCATAAGGGAGCTGATTGTAGTCATCAGTCTATCAAAGGGAAGTTGGAAATTTGAAGTGTTCTGTTTACATCTCCTTTCTAATGTGAAGCAATACAGTAGCTTTGTTTTATACAGATTTGCTGATGTGTGTTTTCTTTTGTCAACATTTTTACTGTTAAACTGAAAGACCTGGATAAAAAACTGACTACACTGAATAATCTGTGAAATGCAAATCCAGATCATCGACTCTGTGCATTTCTGTGCTGTTTTCCTTTTCTTGTACTCATTCCGTAAGACCTCTGGTCTGGGACTGTAAAATATTTTCAGCTACTGTTCTGATTTGTGTTTTATAAGATTTTCCTGCTGGCCCTGTCTCTGTAAATGTCTACTGTCGGGGAGCCATTAAGACCACAGCACAGATTGAGTACTATACTGCACTAGAGGAGATTGAGCACATTTTTAAGAAAGTGGCTGACCCAATAGCTTTCACTTGTCAGGTAAGTTGACTTCTGCATTTTTAATTAAAAAAAACCCCAATGTAAGTTCCAGTATGAGCTAAAAGGTAATATACTGCTGTAAAAATTCTTTTGATTGCACAGTAATGAGTAATGGCTCAAGAACAGGGTCAGGATTAGAGAGGCCTGTCTTTGAGATGTCCACTTGTAAGCAAGTCAGGCAAGTGAAAACAGATTTTCCCTCTTTTTTTTGTTTCTGTTTAGAGAGTGGTATAACCATCCTCTGTGCTGCATATGCCCAGTGAACAATATCCTGAATGACAGAGGGTAAAAGTAATAACAAACAGTGTGATGTCACTTTCCATTGAAAGTGTTCTTTTTAGTATGCTCTAAAACAAATACAAACAAGTAATCTTAAATGACATTGTATCTGGAGGATTATTATTCATTCACCAACAAAAGGGATTTTTCTGGCATAGGTTATCTGGAAGACAGTAGGTTGCTATTCATATAGAGTCCATTTACAGCTGCTGAATTATTGTTCGTGTGGTTTGCTGGTTGCCATGCAGATTCATTGTATATATTTAGAAGAATTCAGGTTTTGAGCTGAGTTTTGAATCAGCACAGCAGGCTGCAGTGCTCTATAGCATGTCCTTTGCCAATGGCACATACAAAATAATAAGAAAAGAAAGCATCTATTAAGAAAGGACAAAATCTCAAGTATCACATGTTGAATGGTAGGTAGCCCAGGCAAACTTGTCATGATGTCTATATTGTAATTGAAAAGCCAGAACAAAATTAATAGTCTGTGTTTCCAGTGCAGGCAGCCTCATTTTCTTGTGACAAATCTACCATGTCTACCACCTAAGGCATTACACTCATAACAACAGAATTAATAAAAAAAATATGTATTGCATTATTAGTCTTCTATTAAGGGGTAGATTCCTTTCAAGTACAAGTCACTTCTGTTTTAAGAAAATATTATTGCACAAGAAAAATAGTGCAACTCGTAAGTACTAGTGTATTCTTAGTATCTTTATAGTATCCATTATTGTTTGACCTGTATTTTGAAGGGCATGAAAGTAAGCATCTAACAGATTTAATTTAAAGTTTTATTCATAGGAGGTGTGTCATAATAATTTAAAAAATTGTGTTTGTGTTATTCAGGAGTTTGACCCTTCATTTGACCAGCATGACTATTAGCAAGACACATGCAATTCAAACTAAATTCAAATGCAAAAATAATTCTGTGCAGAGTGGTAGTGCACACCAGGAAATACTGCTATAGTGTTACGACTATCAGATATGTTTAACAATTTGCTCACCTTTACTCATCTGGATTGTAAGCAAGGGTTTAAATGAGGAGGTGCTGTTTGCCTGCTCTTGATTTTATTGCTTTAGCAACTGAAAAAATTTTTATAATCAAGTAAGTTTTACAGTCCACACACTGTCGTAGCTGCTCTATGGGAAAGTATACTAATGGTAATTCTTTTGTAACTGTACATATGTGTTGGAAGATGTGTCATGATTTTTAATAGTATCTGCTGGGCCACAGAGTGAGGTACACTGACTAGCTAGGTAGCTACACTGTTTCCACAAACTTTTTTAAAACTTTAAAATCTTATGTAAACTTGATATAATGTCAATTAAGATATATCTTAAAGATGCAATTTACAGAACGTGATTTTAACTTAATCTTTAAAAACATGTTCACACAAGGAAAAACAAAATAGACTTCATACTAGTTAGAATTCCCATCCAATAGCAGGAGTAGTAGTAACTTTTATTTAACCAGGATAATTAAAACCTTTGAGACTATCAGCTTTGTTTACAAAAGTATCCTGGCGCAACAGTGGTTTATGTATGCAGAGTAACAATTGAACGCAATGGAAAACAAAATTAAAATCAAATAGCACAGCTTACAGCAATTATTGATCAAAGCGATATTTCCGTGCTTCAAGGAAAAGTTCAAGATTTTCACAAATTATTGCAATCTGAGAAATATCTCCTTATTAAAATTCTGTGATGAAAGCAAATTGCTACAATAATGCATACCAAAGATGTAATGCTTTGGTAAAATGCTTTCCTTGTATATTGTGTTGCCACCCCTTCCAGCTACTTCGAGATGGTATCATCATTGTTGTCCCCTTCTCCACTTCATGCCCCAGTAAAGCCAAACAGATAAAAAAAACCCAACAGATAGGCTTACAGCTATCCATTCCTTTACTGGTGGTCAGGTCAGTTCATATATTGTAGTGGGAGACTGACAAGGTATGGAACCACTGCACTACGAACTCCTCTTTTTAGAGAGGAATTAAAGATTAAGTAGCCATATTTTAGGTTAAATCTACTCTGAGATTTTTACAAATGACATTTTTGGATTAAATTCTTTGCCACATCTGATAAAATTTTGAGTGCTGCAAATTTGTCTGAATTTAAAAAGCAATTACCAACATTAGCAAGACCTTTTAACCAAATAAATATTAAAAATTTAAGGAAATAAACAGTGAAAAATGAAATCAGTTTCTTTGATAAGTTTCAAAAGGAAAAAATGTGAAATTTTATAGTAAAGTAGGAAGACTTGTGATCATAACTGAATCATAATGCCAGCTGAACTTGCAATCAGAATATATGAGGGTGGGTCTTGTCTAAAGGCCATGAATTTTTTTGTTCTCTCACTCTCAGATCATTCTGCATTAAAGAAACTGCCTTAAGGAGTTTGTATTCTCAGGTTAACTTGGTGTACAGACTGATTTTTAAGGTTCTTATAATTAATAATCAAACTTTTTTATGTTTCTTGTTTTACTTTTCATCAACTTCTCATTTCAACATTCTGCTGGAATTTATATGCTGTATTGATTTTTTTCCTTCAGACTTTCTACCAGATGCAACCGTTGATTCAATTATTTAGTTTTGGGGTTTCCTGGTACAGATTTCTTAAGTTTTCAAAAAAAAAATTGAAACTAAGGTCATATCCTTATTACTGAAAGTGATAGTTCATGTTAGTTAGAGTAATTTAGAATATCTTGAGAGATTCAGGAAATCTTTATGACAAACATTGGTTTAATACTTCTATGATTCTGAGAGACTTGGTATCTTAAAGGATGTTTTTATCATAGTCACCAACCAGGATCCCAGTTGCAGTGTATATTGTAAAGGAGAATGAAAATAAACTGCAGCCTTTGTTATGAAAGCTTGTAAGAAATAGCTGTACGACTTATGGGGTGATATTATGCATGCGCTTTTACCTGTTCCCCAAAGATACTTTCTTTGAAACTGTTTTTAACATTTCAATATTCTAAGCCATGTCAGTAGCTCTTATTTTAAAATAATGTTTCTTTCTGTTCCTCTAAGCATGAAATATCTCCATGTTCTGTCATTGGCTAAAATTGCCATAAAAGCCTAAGTGATTTCACGGAATCACAGAATCATAGAATCATAGAATGGTTTGGGTTGGAAGGGACCTTAAAGACCATCCAGTTCCAACCCCCCTGCCATGGGCAGGGACACCTTCCACTAGACCAGGTTTCTCAAAGCCACATCCAGCCTGGCCTTGAACACTTCCAAATATGGGGCATCCACAGCTTCTCTGGGAAACCTGTTCCAGTGCCTCACCACCCTCTCCGGGAAGAATTTCTTCCTGATATCTAATCTCAACCTCCCCACTTTCAATTTAAACCCGTTACCCCTTGTCCTGTCACTACAGGCCCTTGTAAAAAGTCCCCCCCAGCTTCCTTGTCAGCCCCTTCAGGTACTGGAAGGTGCTATAAGGTCTCCCCGGAACCTTCTCTTCTCCAGGCTGAACAAGCCCAACTCTCTCAGCCTTTCCCCATAGCAGAGGTGCTCCAGCCCTCTGAGCATCTTTTTGGCCTCCTCTGGACTTGCTCCAACCCCTCGATATCCTTCTGATGTTGGGGGCAACAGTTTTTAAGGCTAGCCCATTCTCTTTGGCAGAAGTAATCTAGGTATTGAAGTGCATATAAAATAGTGTCTGATATGTGAGAACTACTGAAGAAATTAATCTTTATGCATTAATTTTTATGTAAATGGAACCTTGTTAGTACCTAAAACCAGTGAGAAACATAAATTTACTGGATGCATATGCTGCATTTCAGTGGCACCCATTTTCAGGGCTTCATTAGCAGTTATTAAAGAATGTAGGTGATCTTATTCACAGAAGTAGCAGAAGATGTGCTTGGTCTTTTCCTTTTTCAGAGATGTTTTTGGAAGCCCAGGTGCTTGGGGCTTCTCTGTTCACAGCTGTCCTGCTGCTCTGAAATGGGGTGGGGCAATGAGATAGTGCCTACACTTGGAGAGGTGGTAATGAGGAAGGACAAGCTGCTGCTGATGAATTCTGGGGCAGGCAGTAGCACTTGCAGAAGGACCAAGACTGAAGGGTAGAGCAGCGAGCAGCTGGCTGTGCATCTGAGAGCATGAGAACAATTGTCTACAAATTCACTGGCGAAGTTCTGAGCAGCTTCTGGAAAGAACTTGCCTTCAAGACGCAGGGAGAAAGTAGTGCTTTTACTTCATTTCTGTCATGTTCTAAATATTTAGATAACGTGAGCTTTCTCAAACTCCTGACTGGTTCGGTGTTCCTTTGCAGTGGCTTACTTTTAAATACAGTTCTACTTCTGTTGGCTTTGGTGAAGCTTCAGCATGAATTTCAGGTGCGTAGTGTTGGTGGGATTTCTTGGGAAGATTTCATGAGCCTATGGACACCTATGTAGGGTATATCAAAACATGTAAATGCAGTGTACTCTGAGGCTGGGAGTATGCTGGAGCAAGAATAGGTGATAAAGTAGAAGTTTCTAAACTGAATTCCTTCTTGAGGGAGAGGACCTCTGTGTTGGTAAGGAGCTGGGTAGTGTGTAGTTGTCCAATCACTAGTTCTGTTTGGTTGTTATTTCTGCTATTAGTTTCACATAAGTATGGGAACAGGCCACCCTGAATGTGAGATAAAAGACATTAACATAGTCTCTTCTTTTAAATAACTAAACTAGATTTTCCTACTGTGTCTTTGTTGTAGAGAAGCAGAACAAAGTGACTTGTTATGGTGTAGTTAATAAGATGCTTGAACCTTCAGGTTTTAGATACCTGGAGTAAGAGGAAAAAAATTGAGATGTAAAACTTGAAGCCAATTGCACTGAAACTCTGGAAGAAGTGTATTGTGCCTGCCTTGGAAATCATAGGAATGGATAGGCTGGTCATCAGAATGCAGGCCTGTTAAAGTATGAGAAATTCAGCTCTAATTTAATCAGTTCCCTTTGGGAGATCAGACAGTCTAACTTCGGTCTCAGCAGCTTGTGAAAATTGAGCTAGCCTGTTGTTAAGACATGCAATTGTTTATGGCCTTGAAATTTTGCTGTGAGCACCTCTCATTTGGCAGACTAGCTCCATTTCAGATTGTGACACATTGTTTTATAAATTTGCAAGTCTGAGCGCAAAGTAAGGCTATACACTTACAAGGTACTGTTCCCCCAGATTTCTGCCTGCAGAAAAGGGAGAAGGAAGGGCTTCTGCCTCAGCTCATTTTAAAAAGTGGAGAAGCTTTGTAGGCAAGATTACTTTGAGTGCTTGCTGAAAAGAAAGACTGTGGGGTGCTTATTTGGCTTCAATGCACAAAACAGTCTGAAATGGTTTCTGTGTGAAATTGCTCCTTGGGTGTTTCAGGACAGATGATAAGAGCTGCCTCTGTTGTTGTGGGTTTTTTTTGTTGCTCATTTTCTTTTGAACAGAGAGGGCTAGATAGGTAGCAGAATGTGTAGAGGGTGTCTCTGCTATTTTAAATGGAAAAGAAAATTAAATAAAAAAATTTATATTTAGTTTGTCTAGAAGCTCACCTATATATTTATTTTCTGTATAGTGGAATTTCTGCTATACAGTTGCTTCAGTGAATACCAGTGTTTTTGAGCCTCTTCATGGTACAGTTTCTGCAAATACACTCATTTGAGCTACTTTGTGTGTTATTACTTATTTTTGTCCTACTCTAGACTGAACTCTGTTAAGGTAGTACCAGTGATGATGTCACATCTAAGACGACCTACTTTGAATAAGAGAATAGTGTTGTTTCTTAACTAGTAATGTTAATATTATTCATCTTAATAATTTTTAATATGATGTGGTTATTCATGTTAATAGTTGTGGGGTTTTTCTAATAGATAGTTGGGAGGTTTTGCATATCTTTCTCAATTCAAACAGTAAGTCCAGTACCCAGGTTAGATCTTATTTCTAGAATAAGCCTTAAAGAAAGAGTCTTTTTCTAGGTGAAGTCTTTTTTCCAGAACTTACTGCCTTGGATATTAAGAACTAAATTATGTGTTCATAATTAATGAATAACAAATATAGCTAATTTGACAGTACAGAAGGGGGGAATTATGGAAATAAATAGGTCACAAGTTATTAAGTAATGGTTTTCATATATCATAATCAATATTGGAAGGACCAGTGTTAATTATGGGAAAAATAAACAATAATATTTTGTTACTGGTAGCTCCCTACCTGCACAAACTTCTTTTCAAATTCTGGGTCATTCTTGTAGAACTCTGACAATTATATCATGACTCTGTACTCAACATTTTCTGATTGCGTCATGCTTATTTTCTTAATCACTTCTAACAGCCTTGGGATTTAAACTTCATGTTTTATCAGTAGACCCCTCCGTCCTTTTCTCCTCTGCATGTCAATCACAGGGTTTCTTTTGAAGTTTACATGCTAAGTGCATCTGCAGATATCCCTTGGTAGTGATCCCAGAATTGTCTTGACCAGAAGGGGTTCAGCTATGGGAAGTCAAACTTCCATGCAGGGCTGCTGACATCTGAGCAGAGTAAAGCAACTCCTCCTGAGCACTTCTCTGCTGTGGCTGAGCTGCTTTTGGTGCCCAGTGCAGCAGAGACTGGTGAAGCACCATAGTACTTGGTGTAACATACCCTTACTCTTCAAATCTCTGTAGTCATGCTTCTCTTGTCACACTAAGCAAAGAAACGCTTAATTACGGCTACCTTGAGAGTTGTTAGGAATAGATCTTGACTTTCTGTCCAGAAAGAGGCATACAAAAAGAGATCTCATGGTAGTCATTGGGGATTCCCCATGTCCAAAGACTATGTATTTAGTAGGAAGCTAATCTAACTGGCTGCTCTCAGTTTCTTAATCTGTCAGCAATACTATGCCTTGGCTGATGAAATTGAAGCTGTTTATTACATAGTGAAGTTAGCAATCTTAATGTCTGCATTACAGAGAGCTACTGTAATCTTTAAACTCATTGTGAATTACTGCTTTATGTAATAAGACTTTGGATTTATTGGCACATCTGTCAGAACAGTTCCTGGTTGTTACACTGCATTGTTACAGCTAAATTGCGAGTCTATAAACACAAATCTTCCTGTCCTTCCCCTTCACCGAGAAGTTTTTATACATGGCTGAACTTCATAAGTTATAATACCTGTTTCTCTTCAATTGGATCATGTTATCATGGTCCTTCTATATTAGAGTATCTCTTCTGTACCCTTTAAAAACTATGCTCTTACTAAGAATGAGTTTGTAATAATATTGTTTTAAGTAATTGTATTCGGCAACACTCTGAGAATAAATTTAAAAATACGTATGCAATAAATGCACTGACACTTTTTTCCTCCTCTTAAACAGGTTTTTAAATTTTCTACTGTAGAGAAACTGGACAAAGTTCTGACTTTGTTACTGAAAAGCAAAATATCTACTTATGAATTCAACTCATTCCAGTGTGAAGAGCGCCATCAACAAGCTAGTGAGTCACTTGCTGTATGCATTGATTTTTATTACTGATGCTATGGTTATTACTTATAAATGTTAATAAGATGATCTTTAAATATTTAAAGCCACTAGTGAGATGCAGGAATCCACAGGAAAAATGGGGAAAAGAATTCTATAAAACATTATTTCATGACTCAATAGTATGTATTTATACTTGCCTGGATGTTTGATCAGCTTTAGATCAACTGCAAATTAACAGAATTACAGTGGTGAAAACAGGCAGTCAAAGATGTGAGGAGATGCTTGTGTATTATGTGTATTTTACTAATTGCTCTTCTGCAGTACAATTTAAACTTCATTTTCTTAAAATTTGGTGATGTGAGAAGAAAATCAGGAAGATTTCTCTTTGTAAAGTGTGAAGAGTGTGTTAAAATAGGATTTGTCAATAAAGTAGATGCAATATATACACAGTTCAGTAGTGTATCAACAGAAGCTATTTTTTAGTATCAAATGGAGAGTCCCGATTGAATTAATTAATAACTAATTCAGAATTCAAATTGGTATGCAGTAAACCAAATGTGTGATTATTTAGTTTGTGTTTTGAAAGCATCATTACGATGTTTTTTCAGATGTGTCTTAGACTTCAGCTCTTCTAAGAAACTTACGGAGAAAAACAAAGGCTAAGAAAATGTGTTCCCCTTCTGAAATACTTAAAGAAGTGTTTGAGTTGTTGGCTGACTCCTGTGTTTTGCTCCTGGACTATGGTTTTGAGAGAAAATAATATCAGTACATGTTGTACTCAAGTACAACATAACACTTCTCATAACCACATGTAACAAGGTTTGAAGGTAGCTCTGCTGTGATCAGTATCATGCTTCCTGTCCTTTTCAGTAAGGTTTTTTGATTATGGAATTCACCCCTCTGTTCTAGATAAAAATGATTCCTCTTGTATGCTGAAAATGAGTTTAAATGTGGAAGTGAACTAGGGTGTTGAAGCACCTGTCCTTGACATTTTCCTGTGCAAAACTTCAGGATGGGGCTGTCTAGGACACATTAGAGAGTCATTCAGAATGTGAAATATTATTTCTGATGAGCAGAAGATTTTCTGTTTCTCTGGTAACCAGTTAGTTCTGGGCACATTTTTGAATATTGAGAATAATGATTACCAACCTGCAGTCTCTCCCAGTTGACAGGAATCTCTAAGGCTGTAGAGTGGTCCAGGAGCTGAGAGGGAAAGAAATGCACCACCACACATCTAAGCAAGGAGAACTGTTTGAGCAGCACATCAGACTTTGTGAAGTTCGTTGCAATGAGAGAACCTAGGGCTATAGCCCTTGCAAGCACATTAACATGTATATAATATTCTCTGTGGAATCTCACTTGTTGGGCTATATGCAGGAAGGAAATTATATCTCTGCCTAAATGGAGGCAGTGGTGATGCTGTATCTTTACTTATTGTTAGACCTTCTCTTAAGTTTGTCAGTATTATTCAAAAGAAATCGATTTATAAAAGGCAGCAATTGGAAATGGTACAGATAGAAATTTGGGTTGATTTTTTACAAATCTTGGTTTCTGATGATCGTCACCGGAATGTATTTTGCCATGCATAAGATGAGTTTCAGTTACTTGCTTTTTATGAAGTATCGTGTTGTAGTAGTTGTTGCAGTAACCAAAAGGTAAATCAGGAGTCTCTACCAGAAAAATATTGCTGGAACTGCTGTATGTGTAACAGCCTGTCAGAAGTGCATGCTTCAGACCTGAATGGTGCCTTTTTTAAGTACTTTTTTGATGTTGTATGATATGTTTTATAAAGAAGATAAATGTATCTGGACATTGTCAAAATACATTTAGGATTATGCATGGATACTAATTAAGATAAAGACTTGAATTCAGCTTTTCAGGGGGAAGACTGTTTGAGGAATGAGTGATACTTAAAGAGAATTCTGCAGTCTCTGCAGAGGAATACTGGAAATTCAGTCAGGTGAGAAAGCTAAACACAGACTGAATAGAAGCCACTGGAAAGATAGTGTTTTTAACAGTAGCATTTATTGAAAGATCCAGGGCATGCCTGGGAATTTTAGTAGTTGCCCCTATCACTTTTTGGAAGCATGTAACTACAGCTGGACATACTGTCCTGGATATTGTATATTCTGTGCCAAATGGATTTCAGGTTACCTTGTAGGAAAATTACTCCTTTATATTCCAGTAATAGAATCCAGTCAAAACATACTAAGAAATCCAAACTCGTATTTCAAGAGTATTATTGAACTTCGGAAGATCTGATTCTGCTCTTGAATCTTCACATTTGAGAGTTCTTGGTGCATTGATTCCTGTCTGAAATGGCAATTTACTTGAAGAAAACCTGTTTCTTTTTCCACTGTTAATTAGTTTTCCCTTTTTTATGATTGCTGTGAATAAACTCAAACATAGAGGCTTATGAAAAGTCCTGATTCTACTCTTCTTATAGAAAATACTGATTTTTGTCACCTAATACTACTAGCAACATAGCAAGTCCTATCCTGATTTCTCCAATTCTTTCTTTCAAACTGAAATATCTGTCCCAAAAGAAGAAATAGAGTCTGGGTTTTCAGCTGTTAGTGGAACAATGGGAGAAAAGAGACAGGGGCGAGGGGGAAGAAACAGATGAGGCTTTAAGTATTTCTTTGGTTTAATTTATATTGACACTATAGAAGTAATTGTAAATATCTATTAAAATTGCTGAAAAAAAAAAATGCCCTGCATCAGTAATTTGCGAAATAAAAGAAGGATATCTTAGAATATCTGCAGAAATATCACTGTAGGCTGTTCTGTTTGCTTTCTGTAATTTTATGAAAATTCCCACAAGCTAAGATGGTGCTACAATACAGTAATATTGAATTTTATTCTCTGTTTTATAGCTGAGGTGTTCCAGAATGCTCTGCAGAGAAAAGTAGAGAAAGGGTTATGACAAGTAAAAACATACAAAACAGCAATTCCCTCTCACCCTTCAGTATGTCAACTAAAAATTTAATTAAAGGAAGCACTGGCCTCAAAGTTAGTTTAAAGTCGAAGAAGCCACCTTAATGCACTTAAAAACGTGTCACTTAGGCACTTTCTCTTTAACCTTTCCTTCCCACTTACGATCACTAGCTAACTGGTTCTTAGTGTAGTTGCCAAACAGTGGCAGCTTTTCTCTCTTAACGTTCATCATTAAAGGACTGCTACTAAGTAAAAGCTGTTCATTTCTAGTTACCCTAGTAACTACTACTTTTTTGTTCAGTTCTATATATTTAGCTGAAATGTGTCAGTTGTTCCAGTTTTGCAGCTGATAAAAGTTCCAGCAATTTTCCCCATTTCAATGTGACAAACTTGGAAGTTCAAGAATGGTATTTTCTGCCTGAAGCATGTGATCTTTCAAATAATTACAGCATCTTGCACCTATGTATAATACAAATTTTCAGTTCAAGCAGTTAAACACGGTATGGTGCAAATCACAGTAGAACATCTAATTTGTCTTAAGAGCTCACTGAATTTTGTGAATTGGCAATTAAGTGAACAAGTATAACTTTAAAAAACAAATGTAAATAGATCTTGCAGAGGGTTGTTAATTGTTTATTTTGACAATAGTCAAAATTGTCTTAGTCATTGACTTTTGCTGTGGAACCTGTAGGAAAGAGATAACATCTTTGCCTTTGTCAGTTGACAGTTAGTGATGCCTCTTTTCAGAATGAGAGCAAAAAGAAAGACCAGCTGAGGTTATTTACCTTACTATATTTTTAAATTAAATAAATATATATTTAGAGGAGGAATTTCTGAGAGGTCAAGTCCAACAACACCTTTTTCCCCTCATTGCATGGGTGCAAAGTTATTAGCTTATACAAGACAGAGTAACTACTGGTACCACAGCTGCATACAGAAATGGGCATTGAAGTGATACTAAGGTTGCTGAAGGAATAGCAGCCATTGCAACTCTAGGAGTAGCATTTACCAAGAGAACGATGGTACCAGGGTGGCCTCAAGCAGTTCTGTAGTTCAGAGCTTTCTATCCCTAAGATTTGGAAAGTTTGGCCCATGAAAATTTCATCCTACTTTGTGTTGTTGCAGGGGGCTACTGGTTGTGTTGCCTGAAAAGGCTGTGCAAATGAGAGTGTTAAAAGCTGTCTTTAAAATGGTGGAGCTCAGTACAGTCATCTGATAGTCCTCACAACAGCTTTTTGCCTTGTGTTGCAACTTGATTGTACCAGGCTTCTGTTTCATGGGCAGGAGAAACTAAATCTGTCCATTTAAACCACTCAATAAAGCCTTTCAATGCATTTGCTGTAATGGGCAACTGATCCTGCACAACACTGAAACAAGATGTGGATGGTCCTCCCTTTCTGAGCGTAAGATAGCAGTGCTATAGTGACTGAAAGTAACATGATGTTAATGCCTGCAGGTTGAGGGCTTGCTTATTTTCTATATTTTAACAATATACCACCATATATTGATACATGGAAAAGACGTAGCTACAAGGCATTTACTGGCTGGAGTGGCAAGATGACAATTCAGAGGCCTCCTAATCCCAGCTGGTGATCTACGTAACTAAAGGAAATACAGTGCACATCTGTTTCTTTTAGATCTGAAGATACTCCTATGGTCCAAAAGCATTGTGATCATTAAATTAACTGTTCCAGGCCAGGCTCAAAGAGGCTTTGAGCAACCTAGTCTAGGGGAAGGTGTCCCTGCCCATGGCAGCGGGCTTGGAACTGGATGGTCTTTAAGGTCCCTTCCACCCTAAACCATTCTGTGAGTCTATATGCAATGGAATCTGAAAGCCCAGGACCAATAGACAAAGCCATGTACCTGCTTTCCCCACAAGTTTTTGGTGTTTGTGTGGCTCACTCCTTCCACACCACTTGGTATATATGAACTATCTGTGGGCAGAGCTGGTACAGTTTAATGTCTGAAACTGGTCATGGTTGACCGGAATGCAAAAGCAGTAGTTGTCGTGGCTGTAAGCTTTATCCTCCTACATTGCTGAATCTTTAACTCTGTGGCAGGAACAGAGTTAAACTC